GGTTGGGTTAGGTTAGGTTAGGTTTATATCTGAGAAGGAACACCCCTGCCACAAACGGTAAAGAATGACCTTATCGTCTACTAAACACGTGAAGAATGAGCGAAATTTGAAGTCCTAACGGCGACTATGAAGATGACTCCCTTCTAGAATTTTCTACCGTGAAATCTGAAGACTTTACCGCCTTCATCACCCTTCTAACAGCTCCTTTGAAACATCCATTAATACCTACCGGACTACGCAGTGCAACATCCCAGAAGATACAGCCATCTTCACTTGCAGGAAACTTTAATGGTAAAGAAGGAAACCATACATTTTGATAACTCTTCCCCTACCTTCAGTATGTCCTCCTTGAATATCCCGCTCAGACTTTCTAATTCCCTCCGATGACCCACTGACGCAACAGGACTTGAAGCAGCAGACGTTTCCTGTGAGACAATTAGAACAAGTACAGATTCAATGTTTGAAACACTTACGCAAAACGAGGCAACTATCACATTCTAAAATTCACGTGTTGAACTTATCAGACAACAATTTGTAGCCTTTCACACACATGCATATAAAGTTTTGGTAAACTAACCTCAGGGTAAAAGACGAGATGGGAATTTTTTTAAAGTAAGACGTAAAAGTGTACACTGGGTCTCGGTAACTCTGAATAGGGCATTAATCTTTATTTAATACGGCAATGAACCTTCAGATATCGTAACAGCTGGGTAATACTTGACCAGTTGAGCAACTAACAGCTTATCAATAAAGACTCTTCACCACACAGTAGTAGAGATAAAAATATCTTTTTATTTCTTCGTCTTTATCTCATTTAATTCAAAAACTGTAAACAGCCTGTCACCTGTCAGGGCTTTGAACCTGATACCACAAAAATAAAATAAATATAAAATACCAACAGCACGGAGATCACACATCTGTGGCGGAAACACTCATCAGTTAATGCCAAAACATCGATTATTTTACAGCGATAAATACGTTTCTTCTCATGTTCGTAACAATAATGAAGAATTCTAACCAAACAGATTTAAATTTAATTTATTTACGACTAAAATCGATCACCACATGGTAAAGTACATTGCACGGGATCAGAAAATATTTATCATTGAATTTAATTAAATATTCATCGGTTAGAAAATGTATAAAATTACTTTTGTAGTTATTAATAACGTATATATGTTTTGTTACCCAAAATTATTTCTACAACAAGACGTTCTGACGAATCTGATTAAGTTTAAAATATACTTCATGCAAAGCAAGAGTTATTTATTGGTAGGCACAAAACTGAAATCCAGTCGACAACTTTCAGTGTGGGCCCTCAATATCAGGTTTAATCAAAACGAATAATTTCGCAGATCAAACTTTTAAACAGTCGACGGATTTCCTGTTGTGAAGTTCTTCTATGCATTTATTAAGACCACATAATATAAACGTTTCAAGGTAATATTCACAATATATTTTACGAGAATGTAAAAAATACACTCTCCTTATAGTTAAGCCTACTATACTATATATACTTACTTTAGAACCCTTTTGTGACGATTTCTCTGAAGGCATTTCAGGCGTCTTCATCGAAAATGCATCTGGCACGTAACCGAAAAAAGACTTCCCCAACAATCTGGATTGGGGCTTATTGTCCCCCAAACCCGGGATCCATCCCATTCCATCGTCAGACATTACTTGGCCTCTGTAACAATACAGATTAACAACAACTGCACTGTTCAGTAGTTCTAATTTCTTTCGCAAAATTTACAGCGGCTCTGTAAGCCACATGAGATCGTATTCCACTTCAAGTGCCTGGGGAAAACCCCACAACGACATGCCAACGTTTTCTTTGGACCAGGAGTCAACCAAAAATTCAGGAATCAGATAACTTTTCACCTTCTGTGTTCTGTAGCTTAATGACAAAGATTAACCATTAAATATGCCACTAATTAAGTGGATAAATTACCTTTTTACGTAGGCGGGGTAGCTCAGTACTGACTGACTACAGATTTGATGACAGGGGTAGAGGACTTCTCTTCAAAACCCCCCCCCCAAAGCGCCTACATGGCGTGAACCGGGACAACTTTACTTCACTTTTTTTAAAGTGCACCCAAAATCACTCCGTTCGTTTCTCAACGCACATAAAACAACTCTAGAACTGACAGATTTTGGTATCGAACCAGTTTCATCCCAAAGACAACCTGTTTGAGGTTATGTCATCAGACGGAGACCAGGGCATTCACCGTATCTCTCTTAGTTCGCCAATTCTGCCGAAGGGGAGGGGCTCCCATCGCTTCTCATCCGTCTCCCCCCCTCCGCTAATCAGCACCTCCCCCTCCTTACCTGCATTAAAGGTATTAATGGACGAAAATTGAGAGAAACGAACAGAATAGAAATTGCATGATATCTTTGCTTCATTCAAATTTGCTACATGACGTAATTCTGATAAAGCCTCACGATTTCGTTCTCGTTACCACAGCTGATAATTGACCATTGTTATCGCCTTTTTTCTACTATATTAAAAATTAAAGCTCATTCACTCCCACGAAGTAAAAATATTGCACTTATATCGTAAGCAAAGTCATCCATCTACTGGCAGAATTAGACAACCTTCTACAACTTCCGTTTCCTTTCTGTCAGAGCCATCTACCGGCTGACGCCATAAACTCTCGCGAAGTGATAACGGTTTTCCAGAAGAGAAAAATACCCTTCTGTATCCCATGACGATGAAGGAAATAACAAATGTATGCTAAAGGGGGAGAAAAGAAAGTCTGTTCAAGAACAAGGAAAAATGGTTCACAAACAACTCTTACTTCAAATTGTAAAATTACTACCGAAGACTATCAAGTATCCTACGTAATCCAGAATGTCACTTGGGATACTGTGAACACTTCTGCCAAAGGAAACTTAAAAAAGACGCTTACCGATGCTTGAATTATATGCTAAGTGATGAATTTAACTACAAACAATAGTTACCAACGTACAGATCAACATTAAAACCTATTACTCATTAAATGGAAACATTTTGACATCTTACTAATGTGATACAAGGTAATTGTTCCAATAACGTGAGCCAGGAAGGACCTTGGTTCACAGTGTCGTAACAATGTGCTCCAATAATCACCTCGTGTCATGGCTGTTACCAAGTTTCTAGGAGAAACGCTACAGACATGCACAGGCCAATAAGTGGTTTTTCGACCCAGATGAAGCGTGAAGAACACGTAATAACAGGCGATAAAACAGAACAGAACGAAATACAATCATCTACGTCAGTGAAACATGTCACACAAAATTATTCGGATTGCTTCAGCGTCAGAATGTTAACTAATACAAATATCGAACACGACAGACCGGACACAAGGACACAGACATGTCATTAGACAACTTGAATACGTTTTCGATAAAGACAGAACGCACAGATCATGGAAGATATCAAAGATCTCTTGTGTTAGAATCAAACCTGTAAAGAAAGACTTCGAGAGGTCAGTGTTTTCTGCGATGAAAGCAAACACCTCTAGACTACGGGCCTCATGTAACTACGCGAAGTCCTTTTAGAATATTTATGACGTCTTTAACTAAATCAGTGGTTTTCAACCTGGGGTACGCGTACCCCCGGGGGTACGCGAAGACATCTTAGGGGATACGTGAAATTTAAAAAAATATATATTATTTTATGATAAACACTGAATAATCAGTAATGTAATTTATTTAATTTATTTTAGATGTAGATTATATACTATGTATAACTTGAATTATACACCAACAACTTTGGGGGTACAAAGTTGAAGAGAAATTATATCTGGCGGTACGCGAACAAAAAAGGTTGAATACCACTGAACTAAATCACTGAAATTGCAGTTGGAGACGACCAGATACGGAGAGCAGCCTCGAATATACTTAACAAGCAATCAGAGACAGTCAACAAGGGGTGGTCCTCTAGCTTGGGGATTGAACGAGGGGTTAACTCGACACTGCAGAAATTACGATTATACAAACTTTTAAACTTGTACGGTTTCATTAGGCTCAGTATAGAGGCCAGTGGTGAGTTTTTATGAACACGGTAACAAACCTTCAAATTACATAAATAGCGTGAATTTTTTCGACAACCTAAGTGACTATTAGCTTTTCAAGGGGATTTTGTTTCACACGGATATGCACCCACACACACACATATCCGTAAGTCGTTAAAGATATTCCGAAAAACGAACCCTATAAGACAGATAACAGTATTATAAATAGAATTCTTAGAAACGCAAATAAACAAGTTATGCTGTATCAGATATCCGGTTCAAATTTCAGCCCAGCTACAGACAGAAACTTTTGTGGTTTTCCTCAGTATCTGCAGATGAATACTGAGATAATATGAAGTCTTAGAATGAGTCACAAAGTGCCTCTTTCCAAATCCTTATCCATTCATTATCCAAGCGTGTTTCATGAACTGGTACGACTGGTAATGATTACAGTTACGCGAAGTAATTTACATTTTACAACAGACTTATTCCAAAAAAAAAAAGTCAAACGGTCTTACAACGACCCTACGACACGCTATATTACGTTCAAGTCGCATTGAATTCTGGGGTTATTTTCTTTTCGTATTTTAAATATCGATATCAAGAAGGTAGTTTCATGCCAACTCGTAACGTAAAGCAGTTCGATTATACGAGATTTGACACTGTGAAGACGACATCTACCTACAAGTCCGCTCCGTATTACTACACAGAATACCAACATCTACACAAATCTTTCTTGTTACCAACAGCCTCCACACACTTCTCAAAATGTACACGTTTGTATAACTGTTAGGTCAACAAACCTGTAATGTCAGAGACATCCTGTTGAAAACAGAACTACCAAACACTATCACACTGACATTTTAAAACAACCGGCGAAGAATAAACAATCACTGAGCTTCAAGATGGCTGTCTTATGGATTGTTTCGCCGTGTAATCCGATAGACGTTTCAGAGGTACCAACTGCCTCCATCATCAGGTGCGACGACTACTGACAATACAGACAGCAAACATTTCTGAAACGTCTGTAAAAGTCTACCTGGCTATACAACGCAACATTTCATAAAAATCTCATAATTACTTAGTTTTTAAGTACTGCAATATCACGCGTTCTGTTCTGTCAGGAGTCAAGAAAGGACGACCATTCTACAATCTGACGAATCTACAAATCATACGTGGATACAAACATATTCCTACACGTCGAGACTTAAAAAACTGTGACTTAAAATAAATGACGTGATTTTGTCCTACCATAAAAAATTCTATGTACTACATATAAATTAGAGGCCACGGTGGTCTAGCGGTTAGAACGCTGGCCTTGTAATCCTGGGGTCTCGGGTTCGATTCCCGGCGGTGCCCGAATTTATAACTTGTGTTGGGCAAGGCCGTGGTCTAGGCAACACGGAATTTTCCTCCGAGCTTATAACCACGGTGGTTTAGCGGTTAGAACGCTGGCCTTGTAATCCTGGGGTCTCGGGTTCGATTCCCGGCGGGGCCCGAATTTATAACTTGTGCTGGGCGAGGCCGTGGTCTAGGCAACACGGAGATTTTCTCCGTGGCATCCCAACAATTACTCCCTTCACACACAGAAGAAGGCAATGGCAACCCACTTCTGGATCATCTGCCAAGAACGTATATGAACAGGTCCCAGTCCGAGAAAAGGATGGAAGGATCCTGTTCATATGGACCTGTCGTCAGATAGAACACTAAATAAATAAAACTACATATACATTAACACACAGTGTACATTAAGCGGATTTAACCTCAATTTTATTTATCCCCAAGATCTTTGTCTTCGGTCAATGAACCAGCTAAGGTCAATTTCTTCTTCAGACAGCGAATCCTTGCTATTTTTGCAGTTTGTTTAATTCTTCAAACAATGATCTTTGAAGAACTTGAACTCCAGATTAAACTACAAATGCTTCAAAACAATCCTTAAAATAAATTCCTCGTGTTTAAAAGTGGATATAAACGCAGAAAAATGGTTTGCTGAGAGGCGAATGTTTTCGGCTGGCGTAGTAAACGGTCCATCGTATTCTACATGAATAGGTAAGCAGCTAACTATTTAGGTGTCAAGCAATTGGTTTAGAATCCGATTACCTGTTTTTTTTTTAAATTGCTGAAATACCGAAGCCTCAGTTCAGGAAATGTTATGGGACGTTGTAGCTAAAAGAAAAAAACGTCACCTCTGAAACGTCGGTAAATTACAACCATACTACACGGGGCTACAACTCAGAACATCTTCGTATTAATCGCCTTGAGAACCTGAAATATCACAATCTGTTTGATTTTTGTTCCCATGGAAAAAAATGTTGAGCCTCTGTATAATTTGAAAAATAATTAAGTTTTGACTGCCAAAAATACGTGCATCGTACTTTGACGAACTACTCACGGAAAGAAAAAGGATCATAAAAGAGATGGAACAAGAAATGAAGATAAAAAGAATATAACAAATAAATAAAAATTTATGTCATGCACTTCTCAGAAAGGGTGTAACGTTGGCTTCAATGTCTACAGCTTCTGGTTTGAAATACGTGTACAGTACAGCATCATTTTAAACCAAAACATGTCTTCATTTCGTTGTGAAGACGTTATAAACAGATTTTACCGTACCTTCAAACAAACTTGGCTCAGATTACAGTCCAAATGGTACCTTATGTTGTTCAGTATATACCAGAATCTCGAATTGGTC